GCCGAGGGACGCGAAGGGCGCGCGGCGCGGGCTCAGGGGCCGTTGGCAGCCGGGGCGGGAAGCATTGTTTCCCCAGGCGAGGGGCGTCGGGCCAAGCCTGCACCAGCGCCTGCGGGGACCCTCGGGGCGTGGGGGGGGGTGCGCTGTCACCAGGCCTGGCGCCCTTGGGCGCTATGGCGGACTCTGGCGCGCCGTACCAGGTGGGCAGGCCTTACCCACGGAATGAAATACGCCTCCACCGAAAATACCGGCGCGCCGCCCCACTTGGCCGCACACGGAGCATGCAGCAGTATTTTAAGATCATTGTGGTGAACCGAGGCTAGAAATTAATCTGGGAATCTACCGCGAGAGATTGTGCATTTGTAAACAGTCATCGCGCTTCTCCTTTCCCTTCCCTTCCACTTCTCTTGTCGTGGGAGGGATGTCAAGAGGGCTGGGAGGGTCATTAACTCTTACATAAGAATTTAACAGCAAGGAATTCTGGAGTCCTGCCAAATAAGAGTCAGTGCTGCCAGGGCGGAACTGGGCGAATCTGATTTATTCTGTTTGGTTCAACAAGTGCTTACTGAGCACTTGCTATGTATCAGGCATTTTGAAAAGCACAAAAGAACTCTGAATTTCAGAGTTCAGGGCTGGAGAATTTATTTGCTCCAGTATGGAAATTCATTCCTCGATACAGTCATTCATTCATTGACATTTGGAGAGAGGGCCTACTGTGTGCAGGCTATGCAGAATGCACACATGAAGAACTGAATACTGTCCTTCACGTGCAAAGACTAGAAATGTCGTGACCACACAATGCTGGATGGCCAATGTGGACAGTATGAGAGAGAGGTCCCTTTTGTCTCCAACAGGTGCCACAGGCTAGCAGTGATTTTTAAGTGAGGCTCAGTTGATACTATTCCTTCACCTCTATGCTTTTGGCGACCAGTTGAAACCAGCTACCTGTGAAAGCCTTGTTGCACTTTGGTTTTTTCCACCCCTCCCCTCTGACAGATAGAGATTGAAATTGTCAACAAATTAATCTTACTTGGATCTACAATCAACACCTGTGGTCAGCAGTCAGGAGACATATTTCATTGAAAAAAATCTGCTATCGGGCACTTCTCCAAAGTCTTGGAGAGCAATGGTGTCAGTTTAAAGACCAAGGTGCGCCTGATTCAAGCCATAGTCTTTCCAATCCTCTGTTATGCATCCGGCAGGAGGATAATCAATGCCTTTGAGTTGTGGTGTTGAAGAAGAGTGCTCAATATCCAGACAACTGCCTAAAGTACAATGAAACCAGAGTGCTCAATATCCAGGGGCCTAAACAACAGTAATACCAGAGTGCTCCTTGAAGCAAGGTCAGAGAATCACTATCGCATGTCCTTTGTGTACTGTAGAATCAGAACTGACCTATAGCTGACCCTCTGGTGGGTTTTCACAAGAGGAGATGCCCATCCTTCTCCTGCAGAGGAGCTGGTGGCCTCAAACCAGGTGCCTTCAGGATTGCAGCACAACTTCTTGCCACTAGGCCACCAGAGCTTCCTTGTCTTGTGTACTTTGGACATGTTGCCAGGAAAGGCTATTGCTTGGAAAAGGACATCATGTTTGGAAAGGTGGAGAGTCAGCAAAAGAGAGGAAGACCCTCAACCAACGGATTGACACAGTGACTGCAACAATGGGCTCAAGAGTGTCAGATGATGAGGATGGCACAGGATAGGACCGGGTTCAGATTTGTTGTTCATAAGATCACCATGAGTTGTGCTCAATGGCATTTAACAACAACTTCATTTCTACTGCTGTGAACCTCGTTAGTGTTTCTATTCATCTTCTAGGGAGCTCTCGTGGCCTACTGACAAGAAGCTGTGCTGCAATATCAAAGGCACATAGTTCGAATCCACCAGATGACCATGGAATAAGGATAGACAATCTCCTCCCATACAATTACTCTGCCTCTGAAAACCCCCTGATGGGTCAGCTATGAGTCATTTCCAACTTGATGGCACACAACAATAACAATCATCTTCTCAATAAATGTGCACTGAGCACCTAGTGTGTGACAGGCACTGTTCCAGGCTCTCAGGATATAGCACTGAGCAAAAGACATGAAATCAGCCCCCTGGATAGATGCACACAAACCACTTCTGTGCCTACATTCTCTGCAAGCATCTACCTAGCTGTACCTCTTTACAATCTTTCTTCTGTATCCAGTTTTCTGGTAGAGTTTTATGAAATTAAAATTTACTCTTTGAACATGCATCTTTTTCCTCTATTGAAAATATGATCCCAACAATATATACTATAGTATATATCCCATATCAGAGATAGTGAGAATTGCACAGGATAGAACAGGATTCAGGTCACTGTGAGTTGTACTTGACTCAATGGTACCTAACAACAACATAGTATAGTACAGTGACTATAACAATGAGCTCAAGAATATAATGATGAGGGTGGCACAGAATAGGGTATGGTTCAGATCAGTTGTTCATAGGGTCCCTGTCAGTTGTAGGCAACTTGAGGCTACCTAACAACAACATATCTTAGTCCATAAAGAGTTGAACTGCTAATCCAGCAGCCACACCAGTGACCAGAGTCCACCAGTCACTCTTCTGGAGAAACATGGACGATCTTTCTGTGTAATTTATAGCCTTGGAAAACCCACAGGAATGAGGGTCAGTTATGACTTGGTTATGATTTGACAGAAATGATTTTGAGTTTTTATTGTAATCCCTGGGTTGTGCAAATGGTTGACTGCTTGATTGCTAACTGAATGACTGGCTATTTAGATCTACCCTGGGTACCTCAGAAGAAAAGCCTGGCAACCTTTTTTGAGAGGTCACAGCTTTGAAAGCTTTGGCAACTGTTTACCCTGTAACACATGAGGTCACACATGAGTCAGAAACAATTCAATCTCTATGGACTGTTGTTATTTATTTGGGGTTTTTAACATTTAATATTAACTGGCACTCTTCTTGATATTTGATCCTTTACCCAGGGCAGTTTCACAGGTAAGACTTCCTCTTTATGGTAAGTTATTATTCCAGCCAAGAATCATAGTCAACTAAGTGTGTTCTCAACTTCCCAACTCGCAATGTGCAACACACACACATATCCTAATCCCTGGTGGTCTAGTAGTAAGGAGTTGTACTGACAACCCAAAAGCATTCAGTTAGAGTTCAATGGCTGCTCCAAAAGAGAAAGATGGCATTCTCCTCCTTGTGTGATTTACTACTGCCTCTGAAAATCTGCTGGAGGTTCAGCTGTGGCTTGGTTCTGACTCAACAGTACACAAAAATGACAACAATCCCTGGTACTTTCAACGTGACTTCATTTGGATAGAAGATCTTTGCAGATACAATAACGTTAAAATGAAGTCTTACTGGATTAGAGGGGGCCCTGAATTAAATGACTTGTGTCTTTACAAGAGAAAGGAGAGAGCAGCTAGGACACATGCAGAGACAAAGGTGATGTGAAGACATAGATAGAAATTGAACTGATAAATCTACAATCCAAGTAACATTTGAGCTCTTGTAGCTGAGTGTTAAGGATTAGCAATGCCAACCCAAAGGCCTGCAGTTCAAATTCACCAGCTGCTGCTGTTGTTGTTTGTTGTTATGTGCCGTCGAGTCGCCTGCGACTCATAGCGAACCTATGTACAACAGCCCTAAACTCCGCTCTGTCCTGTGCCAATCGCACTGTCTCTGACACTCCCATCCCAATTATCCCAGTC